CCCCCTCAGGACCGTCGTTCTTCGGCTCCTCCACCCTTCAATTTCTCGCCGGGAACCCGCCCGGACCCCGCCGTGTCTGACACCTTTACCCCCCAGACCACCCTCTCGGGGCCTTCGTTCTTCGGCTCTTCCACGCTGTAATTTCTCATCTGGAACCCACCTCGACCCCCGCCGTGTCTGACGCCCCCACCCCCCAGACCATCCCCTCGGGACCTTCGCTCTTCGGCCCCTCCACCCTGCAATTTCTCACCCGGAACCCGCATCCGCCGTGTCTGGCGCCCCCGCCCCGCAGACCGCCCCCTCGGGACCTTCGTTCTTAGGCCCCTCCGCCCTGCAATTTCCCACCCGGAACCCACCCCGACCCCCGCCGTGTCTGACGCCCCCGCCCCCCAGACCACCCCCTCGGGACCTTCGTTGTTGGGCCCCATCCACCCTGCAACTTCCCACCTGGAACCTACCCCGGCCCCCGCCATGTCTGACGCCCCTACCCCCAGACCGCCCCCTCGGGGCCTTCGCTTTTCGGCCCCATCCACCCTGCAATTTGTCACCCGGAACCCACCCCGACCCCCGCCGTGTCTGACGCCTCCCCCCCAGACTACTTCCTCGGAGCCTTCGTTCTTGGGCCCCTTCCACCCTGCAATTTCCCACCTGGAACCCACCCCGACCTCCGCCGACTCTGGCGCCCCCACCCTCCATGGACCTTCGTTCTCAAGCCCCTCCACTCTGCAATTTCCCACCTGGAACCCACCCCGACCCCCGCCGCGCGTGACCCCCACCACCCAGACCGCCCCCTTCGGGACCTTCGTTCTTAGGCCCAGAACAGACCCTGAACCCCCCGCCACGACCCCGCCGCGCTTCCACCTAGCCCGACACCCCCACCCTCCGGGATGTCTGTTATTGGGACCCGCCACTCGACAAATCTTTGCCTAGAACACAGACCCTCGCCCGTCACCACGGCCCCACCGCGCCTCCACCTCGCCCAACACCCCCACCCTTTGAGATCTCTGTTCTAGGGGCCCGCCACTGGACGCATTCTGGCCCAGAACAGACCCTTACCCCCCCCACCACGGCCCTGCCGCGGCCCCACGGCGCCCGACGCCCCCATCTCTGGGATCTCTGTTCTTGGGACCCGCCACTCGACAAATCCTGGCTCAGACCAAACCCTGACTCCCCACCACGGTCCCGCAACGCCTCGCCCGACACCCCCACCCTCTGAAATCTGCGTTCTTGGAACCCACCACTCGACAGATCCAGCCCCAGAACAGACCCTGAGTCGCCGCCGCGGCCCCACCGCGCCTCGACCTCGCCCGACGCCCCCATTCTCTGTAATCTCTGTTCTTGGGACGCGCTACTGGATAAATCCTCCCCCAGACCAGACGTTGACCCATCGCCCCGGCCCCGCCGCGGCCCCGCCGCGCCTCCACCTCGCCCGACGCCACTACCCTCTGGGATCTTTGTTCTTGGGGCCCGCCCCTGGACAAATCCTGGCCCAGAACATGCCCTGGCCCCCCGCCGCGGCCCCGCCACGACTGCGCCTCGCCCGACACCCCCACCATCTGGGATCCCGGTTCTAGGGGCCCGCCACTCGACAAATCCTGGACCAAAACAAACCCTGATCCCCCACCGCGGCCCCGCCGCGGCCCCACCGCGCTTCCACCTCGCCCGACACCTCCACTCTGTGGGATCTCTGTTTTTGGGACCCGAAGCTGGACAAATCCTGGCCCGGCCCCCCACCGCGGCCCCACCGCGCCTCCACCTCGCCCGACACCCCCACCCTCTGGGATCTCTGTTCTTGGGGCCCGCCACTCGACACGTCGTGGCCCGGCACCCTCTGGGATCTCTGTTCTTGGGGCCCTCCGCTCGACAAATCCTGGCTCACACCAGACCCTGACTCCCCACCGCGGCACCGCCGCGCCTCCACCACGCCTGACAACCCCACCCTCTGCTGGGATCTCTGTTCTTGGGACTCGCCACTCGACAAATCCTGGCACAGAACATGCCCGGACTCCCCACCGCAGCTCCGCCACGCCCCCACCTCGCCCGACACCCCCACCCTCTGGGATCCCTGTTCTAGGGGCCCGCCACTCGACAAATCCTGGACCAAAACAAACCCTGACCCTCCACCGCGGCCCCAGCTCGGTCCCGCCACGCCTCCACCTCGCCCGACACCCCCACCCTCTGGGATCTCTGTCCTTCGGACTCGCCACTGAAGGATTCCTCGCCCAGAACAGACCCTGACGCCCAACCGCGGCCGCACCGCGCCTCCACCTCGCCCGACACCCCCACCCTCTGGGATCTCTGTTCTTGGGACCCGCCGCTCGACAAATCCCGCCATCACAGACCCTGAACCCCCCACCGCGGCCCCGCCACGCCCCCACCTCGCCCGACACCTCCACCCTCTCGGATCTCTGTTCTTGGGCCCGCCATTGGACAAATCCCAGCTCAGAACAGACTCTGATCCCCACCACGGCCCTACCGCGCCTCCACCTCGCCCGACGCCCTGACCCTCTGGGACCTCTGTTCTAGGGATCCGCCCCTTGACAAATCCTGGCCCAGAAAATCCCCCAAGTCTCACTTCGAGCGGCCCCGCCAGGGCCCCACTACGCACCCGCCTCGCCCAACACCCCCACCCTCTGGGATCTCTGCTCTTGGGGCCCGCCACAAGGCAATTCCCGGCCCAGAACAGATCCTGGCCCCTTCACCGCGGCCCCACCGCGCCTCCACCTCGCCCGACGCCCCCACCGATGGGACCTCTGTTCTTGGGGCCCGCCACTGGACGCAGCCTGGCCCAGATCGGACCCTGACCCCCCGCCGCGGCCCCACGGCGGTCCCACCTCGCCCGACACCCCCACCCTCTGAAATCTGTGCTCTTGGAACCCACCACTCGACAGATCCAGCCCCATAACAGACCCTGAGCCCCCGCCGCGGCACCGCCGCGGCCCCACCGCGCCTCCACCTCGACGGACGCCCTCATCCTCTGTAATCATTGTAATCTCTGTTCTTGGGACCCGCTACTGGACAAATCCTCGCCCAGACCAGACGTTGACCCCTCGCCCCGGCCCCGCCGCGCCTCCACCTCGCCCGACGCCCCTACCCTCTGGGATCTTTGATCTTAGGGCCCGCCCCTGGACAAATCCTGGCCCAGAACATGCCCTGGCCCCCCGCCGCGGCCCCGCCACGACTGCACCTCGCCCGACACCCCCACCCTCTGGGATCCCTGCTCTAGGGGCCCGCCACTCGACAAATCTTTGGGATAACAGACTGGACAAATCCTGGCCCATAACAGGACCCTGACCCCCCACCGCGGCCCCACCGCGGCCCCGCCACGCCCCCACCTCGCCCGACACCTCCACCCTCTGGGATCTCTGTTCTTGGGACCAGCCGCTCGACAAATCATGGCTCATACACCAGACCCTGACTCCCCACTGCGGCCCCGCCGCGCCTCCACCTCGCCCGACACCCCCACCCTCTGGGATCTCTGGACGCCGCAGGACGGCTTCAACAAGGCCCAAGGACGGCCCAATGAGACTCCAAGACGCCCCAGAGACGACCAGAGAGGCCCCTGAGAGACACCTATGGCAGGCTCAAGACGGGGAGTTCGCGCTGGCCTTCTGTGCCGCCTTTCCATCCAAGATGATCTTCAAGACCCCACAACCCACCTACAAAAGGCTTCCCCAAACATACCCCCAAGAGGCCCCGAAGAGACCCCCGGGGGCCTCAATAGGCCGAGGGTGGAGGGAGGAGAGGGAAGAGGGGGAGGAGCGAGGAGGAAAGACTAATAAACGAAACTGCTGGCAAGAAGGGAGTACTAAAGATCCGCGCCAGTTCGTACCGAGCGCCTTCACTCGCGTGAGTCTTAAACTCAATTTCCTGCCTGCTGCGCTGCGGCGCTGGCACGGTAGCGGGATGTGCCGCAGGAAGCTGGGTAAGCGCCGCCTGACCTGGAGCTCCACGACTGTAACCTGTCGCATCGGCTAACGCACATTTTTAATGTCTTTTCGGTGACCCCGAACGACATAATGCGATGCTGGCCCATAGCGCTGGTGGAGGAACACACTGTGTGTGTGTGCATTTTTGTATGTTTTTGTTGTGCGTGTGTGTGTGTGTGTGTGTGTGTGTGTGTGTGTTTGCGTGTTGTGTGTGTGTGTGTGTGTGTGTGTGTGTGTCTGTGTGTGTGTGTTTGTGTGTTTGTGTGTGTATGTTTGTGTGTGTGTGTTTGTGTGTGTGTGTGTGTGCGGTGTGTGTGTGTGTGTGTGTGTGTGTGTGTGCGTGTGCGTGCGTGTGTGTGTGTGTGTGTGTGTGTGTGTGTGTGTGTGTGTGTGTGGGCGCATGTGCGTGCGTGCGTATATGCACACATCGAGACACTATAGGGCTTGCCGCACGCCTCTTGGGGCCGGTCGCGTGCTCTCGCGGGATCTCCCAGGGACCAGCGAGCGCCAAGACGGGCCAGGGGGGACGGCCCAAGAGCGTTCGCAGCCGCCCAAGACGGACTCAATACCGCCCACGAGGCTCCCAAGACGGCTCCAAGAGGACCCCCTAAAAGGCCCCAGTAAGCAAACATCGATGTTCTTTCTTATATGATTGATCGGCTTTAGCGTTCTCGCTTTTCTTTCAACGCTCCCAAAAGACCTATGAGGCTCCCACATTTGCCCCCATGATGCCCCCAAGAGGCTCCAAGAATACCCGAAGACGGCCCAGGAGGCCTCCAAAATGGCCCCAAGAGGGATAACTCGACCTGCCACATATTGCCCCAACGACCCCCACATATTGCTCCAACGACCCCTAACGTGTCCCCAAGATCCCCGAGAAACTCCCAAGATGCCCCACGAGGCCCCCAAGAGGGCCCAGACGGGCCCCGCCGAGGCCCCCAAGAGAGGACCTGCGGTGTCCCTGTAGAAGGCTGCAAGCGAGAGGCATCCAAAGTGACTCCAACAGGCATACAAGAAACCTTTGGCCCACAACCCAAATACGGTAGCGGGATGGGCCGAAGGCAAGTAGTCCGCGCAATAGCAGCAAGCAGCCGACGAACGACTGTTAGGCTGAAGCGTGTTAGGGCAGAGCAGGCTAATATTAATGACAACGACTACCAGTACTGTGTTTCAGGCGCAGTGATATCAACAGTAACTGCCGTTGTGCAATTTTCGGGTCCAACACGGTGGCGCACCACAAACGCCTTCAAGCCCAAGCCTCGCTGAACCGACTCATTCGGCTCCACCGTGCACCGAATGACATGCAGAGAGTCGATCCGAGACGCTGCCCGCGGCACGAGTGCTACGCGAAGCCGCACCGAACCGATGCCTGCCGACCACGTCGCCGATCACGTCTGCGAGGACGCCGTAAGCCATCTCCCTGTTGCGAGCTGGGCCAACTCCGCCGCATAGCACGCATCATCCCTCATCGAGCTCGACCACGTCGGCGTGCTCCCAACGCGCCTCGGCCAGACAGAGGATCCGAGCCGGCCTGCCCGCCGTGAGACGAACGCCCTCTGCCTCTAAGAGACGCTGCTGGTCGCCCCCGCCGGTGCGGATCACGCCAGCACCGTTGACGACCCTCCACCAAGGCACAGCCCTGCGACGAAGCTCGGCGCCCTCCGGCAGCAGACCCAGCGCCCGCCCGACGTGCCTGCTGTGCGCGGGGCAACCCAGAGCCTTCGCCACGTCGCCGTAGGTGGAGACGCGGCCCCGTGGCACCTCCTCCAGGCGACGAGATGTAGAGGAGGAAGAGGAGGAGGAGGAGGAGGAGGAGGAGGAGGAGGAGGAGGAGGAGGAGGAGGAGGAGGAGGAGGAGGAGGAGGAGTAGGAGCAGGAGGAGGAGG